TGCTTATTTGTACGCACATGTGTGTGGCTCAATAAGCTGTGATCAAATGTCCGGTCCGCCGGCAAGAAGACAATCAAGGGGTGTTGACGCAGTTGTTATCGGTTAGCCAGAATCAGCTGCGATTTCAAGCGTTGGGGACGGAGACGCCAGTAAAGAAAGCATTGTAGGAGTTGTTTGCGGTCACACGACTTTGGGACAGTGAGCCTTGGAGAAGGAAGGAAAGTAGGCCTTGTGTCTGCCCGCGACAGTATGTACGGATGGTAGAGATGTTTATACCCCCCCCAAATTTTTATCGCTGTTATCAGTTAGATAAAAGCAGCTACGATGTCTGTACTCAGGGACAGGACGTTGGTTGGTGGAAGGGTCATATCGATTAAAGACGGCAGTGAGTCGGCAAGTTGGTTGGAGGAAAGGTTGTCCCGGTTTGGTCACGATAGCAAGAGGACGTAAATTTTGAACACGGAGCATATCAATGCGTCAGTGAAGCAGTTTAATTTGAGATACATTGGAGTGTCAAAAGTGTGAAAATTCATCGATTCATACACAATTGCGTGTTGAGTATATTATAAAAAAAGGAGTCACGTATAATACATTTGTTGGTCCTTGACGGAGAAATGTCTTGTTCAGATAGGAGATGTGATGGAATGGCTACACAGGTGGGTCAGTGTACCAAAAAATTTAATTTGGAGAAGGAAATCCCGATTCGCGACATCGTGCTCGAAACCGCGCTTAGCTATTCCTGGGTACGATGAGTGATGCAGAAAAGAACAGTACGGTGAAGTCGAGTTGGAATTTTGTAAAGAGCTTGTCAGCCAAAAGCGAATATTTTGTCTGGGGTCCCCAATTTGTTGGGGTCTTAGTATTTGTTTTACTCGCATCACTACACTCATCAGCTCGAAATGCCGAAGTTGAAGGTAAAAAGGACAGAGTCACCGGATTGACTGGTTTATAGTGTGTACAATTTCTAACTACTGTCACAGGTCATAGTGACGAAGCCAGAGCTGGTGCTGCCTGCGTCCAGCCAGGCCCAGGAGTGTCCACTCATTGTTGTGTGCGGTGAAGACAGTATATGTTTTCATGACTATGAAGTGAGTTCAAATCTTCTTTCATTAGTGTGTTAATATTGCTCTAGCGGATGTCGTATGTAAAGGTCTTTGCTGCACCGTTTCTGAATAACGCAAAATGTGAACGTAAAGTACACAAAAACTATATTTCAACACAACTCACATTCAATAAGGCCTTCTTTGTCTTAAATTCGCATTATCATGTTCGATTTTTTGTTTTTTTGCAAGGTCAAAGGGCGGATTATTTATGCATTCAAACAAACACTTCTATTACTGCATTTTGTGCAACAACACTTCACCGGATAGCTAAACATAATTTTTAAAATACAAATCTACAATGCTAATTCAAACAAATTTGATTCCTTTAATTTGGCTTCACTTGAATCTGAACAATTTTCGACAACATTTTCCAGTTCGGGAAGGGATATATTTTATACCTATTTCACTTATTTTGGAGTTCCTTTACAGTATAATCGATATTAACGTGCAATTGGGTTCTCTCTTTCGTAATAGCATAGGAAATTCCTTCGATATGAGACTAATCCCAAGTTCCCCAAAATTAATGGCCATTTCTCTTAATAAACCTAACTTAAATGACCATTTGACTAACTAAAGAGTTTTCGCAGAATTCAATATACTGAATGAATCAAAACAGTGTTACTAAAT